CTGAACAGTCTAAATCCCTTGGTATCAGTGGCAGGTTTTGGTTTTTATATCCCGCATTTATTCTAGTAAATTAACATTTCATTTTATTAAACTCCCACCACCAGCACAGATAAGTCTTCCGTGCTACGTGACTACGTACTGCATGAAGTGTGAACCTGCGATGGTTTATCCACGGCCTGCTTTATTACAGTTAAATTAAAGAGGGCATTTGTTTTATCGCAGTCACGATCATTTTAGAAAGACAACACACTCATACACATGCTGCTCATACGTAAAGACATGACTCTGTGAGTCCGTGTATCAGCGGCATGAGGAAATCACAAGACAAAGTGAAATAAAGATGTCAATTGTGGGCTCAAGTTGCTGTTAGCAAATTAGCGTGTTTCTCATGGAGGAACTGCTAAGAAAGTGTCAGCACGTCTTGGGTAGAAAAGCCAGCCAGCTTATTATGTTAAGACAGTTTTTTTCAAATAGGCCAGATTTAAGGAATCTGGCTTATAATAGGCCTATTTGGCAACCGTGTTGTACTTTAAATAGCATCGATTACATTTTGTGGCGTTGTATTCGATTACAAAACAAGGTCAACGATATGAAATACTCATTCCTTTAATCAGTTAACTTACACATAAGTCCTTACGTCCTTTTCAGGACGTAATTTTTTGTTATTTGAAGCCCCACTCTGGCTTTTGCCAGGGGCCGCAATATAGGCAGGCCATAAAAATGGCCAAATGTCTGAACGCGGTTTCTGGGACCTCTCCACGGGTGATCCTCATCCACATAATGGCACTTTGTGTCATCGGGTGTTTATCGCTTGTGTGATGTCCTGGTGGGGTAGAAATTCATTCATTCATTCATTCATCAGTTAACAAGTAGCACACACAGAGTAAGGTGAAAAAAGAAGACAGGAAAAAAAGGAAGATGTAAAAGCAGAACACACTTTTGCTACATTCTATCCATCCATCCATCCGCCATCTGTCTGTCTGTTAACCCTGTGAAAATCTATCTATCTATCTATCTATCTATCTATCTATCTATCTATCTATCTATCTATCTATCTATCTATCTATCTATCTATCTATCTATCTATCTATCTATCTATCTATCTATCTATCTATCTATCTATCTATCTATCTATCTATCTATCTATCTATCTATCTATCTGTCTGTCTGTCTGTCTGTCTGTCTGTCTGTCTGTCTGTCTGTCTGTCTGTCTGTCTGTCTGTCTGTCTGTCTGTCTGTCTGTCTGTCTGTCTGTCTGTCTGTCTGTCTGTCTGTCTGTCTGTGTGTCTGTCTGTCTGTCCGTCCGTCCGTCCGTCCGTCCGTCCGTCCGTCCGTCCGTCCGTCCGTCCGTCCGTCCGTCCGTCCGTCCGTCCGTCCGTCCGTCCGTCCGTCCGTCCGTCCGTCCGTCCGTCCGTCCGTCCGTCCGTCCGTCCGTCCGTCTGTCTGTCTGTCTGTCTGTCTGTCTGTCTGTCTGATATTTTTTCAGATTATTTCACTAACTTTATGAATCCTCCTCCCCTATCAAGCAACATTCTCTCTCTCTCTCTCTCTCTCTCTCTCTCTCTCTCTCTCTCTCTCTCTCTCTCTCTCTCTCGCGCGCTCGCACCGTCTATATTTAAAACCATTGACCATGTCTCTGTAATCCAATTAATTAGCTGCGTATCATTTACAGGACGTCGTAGAACCAACTCCAGCACTATCTGGCTGTTGTGGTTTTTTAAGGCAAATTTACGTCAAGTCGTTTGCCATTGCTCTCTGGACCTGTAATCGAATACATTTCCACAAAATGTAAAAGAACATATAAACAGAATACAATGCGGTCCCGGGGTCAGGGAGGACAAGACAACATATTTTAAGATGTTTCGGCACTCTTCCGAATACCGGCCCCATATTATTCAAAGACAAAAAATCCCATTCAGGGCCTCAAGAGGTCGTTGTTAGGGACTTGAGACCGTTTCGGCACTCTTCCGAATACCGACATACTTGCACCCTGCACATCTGGCAGACGTAAGTTAGATAATGATTAGCTTCAAGTCGTCGAAATAACCTTGGGAAATGCCGTGAATTTCCAGGAAGGAAAGCGAATGTTCGAAGAAAGTTCCGTGGCCGTTGACTGACTGGCGTGATTGATCTGTCCTCGAACTGGTTTGTTTACTTGATACTTGATTTGAAGATAACAAGGCGGGAACGAAAAGTTCCTTGTATTTTCTCGTGCCGGGTCAGCTTGGACCTATAAAAGTCCACTTTTTTTTTTTTTTTAGGTTGGGGTCATATTATCTAGTAGTCATCATTGTGAAATGCAGTTTTTTTATATTATTTTGAAGCCCCACTCTGGCTCTTGCCAGGGCCGCAGTATAGCCCGGCCATAAATATGCTCTAATGACTGAACGCGGTTTCTGGGACCTCTCCACGGGTGATCCTCATCCACTTGGTGGCACTTTGTGTCATCGGGTGTTTATCGCTTGTGTGATGTCCTGGCGGGGTAAAAGAAGACAGATAGACTGTGTGTGGGCAAGGCATTTTACAAAAAGAATTGTCTTTGGGTTTGTATGGCTGCCGGAAGAGCGTCCCTGCTCTTCTTACCCGGTACTATGAGACTCACTATTATTCTTTCTAATCCGCCATAGTGCTGGATATGGCCAAAATATATGTCTGAGACTGTTTAATGAACAATATTCCTTGGTGTTCATATCTTTGATATCAGCATTTCTTTTCTTCTTGGCCTGTGTTGAGTTGAGTTAATTGACATCACAGCACTCGGGGTATTCCCGTACGTGCTCCATCCCCATCTTCAGTAGCCAGCGCATAGTTCCAATACCGATGGTGACAGTATTAGTCTGGTTATATGTCCTTGACTTTCCTCAGAGTGTAGAGAGCAGACTAGACCCTCTGGTCACACCCAAGTGCATCATTCTCTCCAAGCCATAATAATCTAATAGTCAGTGGTATTCTGAGAAACTTTATCATTGCAGCCTAAAAGCATATGAGCATATAGTTTTAGACAACATAGCCTGATAAGTGATGTGGTCACAATCGTGAAAACAACCTTTATTTCCCAGATATTTTCCACCACCCAAGTAAGGCTTGGTTGACTTGCAAGACCTAAATACAGTGATTCAACTTTTCACACTAAAACTTTCATGCCAGAATGTAAGCATCTAGCCACTGTACTATCACTTCCTTCTCGTGGTGAGGCGTGCATGTAACAGCTGTAATTGCTAAAGACCTATTATTTTACATTCTATTGTTACTGTTTATTATTCATTACATATGGGCCACTCTGAATATGTCTTGACCATAGCAAAAAGAAAGCTTGCTGCATGCTTGCACTATTGATACAGAAACTGTAATGCGTGAAAGCTAGTAGTTACTGCTAGAATTTTAGCTGTGCATGCATGTTCTCAACAGTAAGGTGACAAGGAGGAAAATATCACATGATTTTTTCCCCAGTGTAATTGCTGTGTTCTAACACTTACACATGGACATTGATCATGCTTCACTACTGCTTCCTTCATTGTACCCCTCCACCCCATCCTTTTCAGTATGCCTCATGAAGGCTTGAGACCCTGAGATTGCAGAATCGACATTTGGATGGCAGGCCAGCAGCGCAAATTCTAGATAACCCTGTTTAACCTCTGAAGAATTTAGTAATGAAGCCACTGTTAAGGGTTACACCAGCCTCTGTAGCCTGTAGACCTGTGTGGGTAAGAACGATGTCTATATAACTGTTGTGCTGCTATGGCTGCCAGTAAGTCCCTCTGTTAACCTCTTCATTTCATAGGAGATACATAGGTGAATCTGGGTGTAAATAGAAGATTAACTTGATGCTGTTAGTATATAGCAGTCTAGTTCCTGTAAACATAACTCCAAAAGTTATGTCAGTTTAACTCAATTTTTATATAAAATAAATTTGAACAATAATAATAATGGTGTGCCATGTGCGCACTGACATTTTGGCTGTAGTAGATATGTACATCCACTGATGTCTTAGACAATATTTCATGCGGAGGCCTCAGTATGTGGATATCTACATCCACTGATGTCTTAGACAATATTACACGGGGAGACCCCAATATGTGGATATGTACATACACTGATGTCTTAGACAATATTTCATGCGGAGGCCCCAGTATGTGGATATCTACATCCACTGATGTCTTAGACAATATTACATGCGGAGGCCCCAGTATGCGGATATGTACATACACTGATGTCTTAGACAATATTTCATGCGGAGGCCCCAGTATGTGGATATCTACATCCACTGATGTCTTAGACAATATTTCATGCGGAGGCCCCAGTATGTGGATATCTACATCCACTGATGTCTTAGACAATATTACATGGGGAGACCCCAATATGTACATATCTACATCCACTGATGTCTTAGACAATATAACATGCGGAGACCCCAATATGTACATATCTACATCCACTGATGTCTTAGACAATATTACATGGGGAGACCCCAATATGTACATATCTACATCCACTGATGTCTTAGACAATATTACATGCGGAGGCCCCAGATGCAGATATTTACATCCACTGATGTCTTAGATAATATTACATGGGGAGGCCCCAATATGCGGATATCTACATCCACTGATGTCTTAGATAATATTACATGGGGAGGCCCCAATATGTGGATATCTACATCCACTGATGTCTTAGATAATATTACATGGGGGATATCTTATCATCCACTGATGTCTTAGACAATATTACATGGGGAGGCCCCAATATGTGGATATCTACATCCACTGATGTATTAGATAATATTACATCGGGAGGCCCCAATATGTGAATATCTACATCCACTGATGTCTTAGACAATATTTCATGCGGAGGCCCCAATATGTGGATATCTACATCCACTGATGGATATCATACATATGAACATATCTTCATCCACTGATGTCTTAGGTAATATTACATGGGGAGGCCCCAATATGTGGATATCTACATCCACTGATGTCTTAGAGATTGTGAGGCCCAGCATGTGCATATGCACATCCACTGATGACTGATGGCCCTAGTATGTGGATATGTACATTGACTTGGGGGAGATTACGTTACCTAATAATGTTCACATCTACCCTGCAAGTTCAGAACACGGATCAGGAGTTTCACATTTGCATGGACCTTGTGTGTTTTAAGCCTGAAGAAGTGAAGATAACTTCTAACAACAAGCAGATATGTGTCTCAGCCAAACACGAGAAGAAGCAAGGCAAGCATGGCTACGTGTCTCGGCAAATGACTCGCATGTTCTCGTTGCCACTGGTAAGTTTGTGTGTCTGTATGTAGAGTCTAGAAGCGTTTAATAAAAGTGTTTCATTTCTTGCAATCCTAGGTTACATTGCAAATTAACAAGGAAAGAATGCACCCTCTGCTCGACTTAACATATGCGACTTGGACCATCTGTACCTGCGACCATACAAAAAAAGTAAATGACTGAAAATGTAAAGATCACTATATTGGTAGGTTAGAAAAGTTCCCGTAACTGGTGCAGCAGAGTCCATATTGTGTTTTGTTCTTATTATGTACAATTAGCATACATAGATATTATAACCCATTTGAATGAAAATAGTGTTCAAAAACATGAATTTGACTAAACGACCAGATGCAATTATGACCTGTTAGAATGTAACTCGGTCGTGAAGTCAACGAGACCCTGTACTGACTTGTTATTTTGCATTTCATCTCTTAGTAGAGCCCTGAATCTTGTCTTTGTAGATTTTTTACATGACTTGCATTTTGCAGCCAGTCTTCTACAGTGTTATGCCAACACTTCTAGGTTATCTTTTGTGACATGCATGATAGGTTTCTTGCTCATGTTTTAGATCTGTTTTCCATACCTAGTGAAAATATCAACATAAAAAAATTATCACACACATGTATAAAATGGACATACAGATGATACAAACATGTTTAACATCATATAGTGAACCCAGTAGTAGTACACAGTGGGCAGCTAAGTAAAGAAGGTAAAGGGATCTTTTTTCATGTCAGTGGCATGCTGGAAAAGAATGCTGAACTTGTAATTTTGTAGGCCACTTGTCACTGGATGTGGGATGGCAATGCCACACTGGCCACTTTTACTTCCCAAGGATGAACCTGGTACCTATTTTAGGCTGGGTCTACTTAGGGGCCCAGGTGAATTTTCAACAACAAAGTTCTGACTCACTGTGGGTGAAGATCTGAATCAATATGGGGAAAGATCTGACTCAATATGGGTCGAGATCTAACTCGATGTGGGTTCAAAATCAAGACCATTGGGCCGGCTGGTGAAAGCAGAAATGATGGCCACTGCAAAGAAGAAAAAACATAAAACATAACCCCATTGCCACAAAGACACAATAAAAAAGTAAAGGTCTTTTACAGACAAGTGGTGCACCAAGCATATGATGTTAGACTCATTTGTTTATAGACCTCGATGGGCGGTGAAGAAGAAATACCACATTGTAAACGGAAATTCCTAAATGGATCAGTATAACTGTTTTCGAACTGTTGTAAATGTATCATGCACGATGCCTTGTGGCAATTTGAAAAGAATAAACATAGCAAAGTAGGTTTTAGCCAGAATCAAAAGAGGCCAATAAAAAGCCATCAGTTGGTAATGAGGAAAGGGGTCAGAATGGTTTCTGTGACCTGGGTTATCTGCATTTAATCTCTGTGTGAGTTTCTAGGACCCCATTTTGGGGAGAAGAAATAGTCCCACTGCCACTTGACAGCATGTCTAAAAGGTGACTGTTTAGGACTTTGCTGAAATCAGATGCACTGGGCCAAAAGTTTCACAGTCTAGCTGTAAACCACAACACTAATTCTAACTAATCTTTGAAGGGCAAATGCTGAAGAAGACGATATGCATGTGAGACATGGGTAATAAAATGGAAGCAATGTCCTGTGTATGGGAAGCAGAAAAGCAGCTTTTGAGAAGAATGCAGAGATGTGCAGATCTTTTGAGTTGACAAATGGCCTACAATTTTGCATGAGATGTTTTCATTCTCCAGGATGTTGATCCAAAGGCTGTGACCTCTACAATGAACAACAACGGCGTCATGCTCATCAGAGCAGGCAAGAAAGCAGTGGAGGCTCCCAAGGAAGTCCCATTCCCTGTGGAATACAAGGGCTGCTAGATTTTCTTGTGGAGCTACAGTAGTGGTGTTGTTACATTACTGCAGGCACTGACGTGGTTCTGTCATTGTTGCAGATCACCATGCCACAAGGATTTTGGCTTTTTTTATTTCCTTATCAACTTTCGTTATTGTAAATGTCTTTAAGTTTGCAAAGTGACCATACAGTAATGTTGTTGCGATTTTATACAAACTGTTAGTGTTGATGCTTAATTAACCTTCTATGTGTAATGTTGATGGAACAGGATTCCTACATATATTTTATTTTCTGTATCTGCTTTACCAGTTAAATGTTTCAGTATAAATCTTTAAAGGTATTGTAAAACTAGCATTGTTAAAACAAGAGTGTATGTAGCCCTGTCTACTGCAGTAGTAATATTTTAGCCTTTCTGTACTTCCAGTACACATCTACTGCCTCTGTCTGTGCACTGTCTATGCACACCTCAAAATATGTACTAGTCCTGTCTGTAGGTACATAGCAACAATAAGTGTTTGTAGCACCTATCTGTAGGTACATAGCAACAATAAGTGTTTGTAGCACCTATCTGTAGGTACATAGCAACAATAAGTGTTTGTAGCACCTATCTGTAGGTACATAGCAACAATAAGTGTTTGTAGCACCTATCTGTAGGTACATAACAACAATAAGTGTTTGTAGCACCTGTCTGTAGGTACATAGCAACAATAAGTGTTTGTAGCACCTGTCTGTAGGTACATAGCAACAATAAGTGTTTGTAGCACCTGTCTGTAGGTACATAGCAACAATAAGTGTTTGTAGCACCTGTCTGTAGGTACATAGCAACAATAAGTGTTTGTAGCACCTGTCTGTAGGTACATAGCAACAATAAGTGTTTGTAGCACCTGTCTGTAGGTACATAGCAACAATAAGTGTTTGTAGCACCTGTCTGTAGGTACATAGCAACAATAAGTGTTTGTAGCACCTGTCTGTAGGTACATAGCAATAGCAGTTATTTTTTGTAGCACCTGTCTAGAGATGCATAGCTACAGCAGATGTTGTTTGCAGCACCTGTGTAGAGATCCATAGCAACAGTACATATTGTTTGTACACCTGTTTATAGGTACATAGCAACAGCAGATGTTTACAAGTCCCCCTCTTTTTACACATTAAAACAATATGCGTGTCCATGTATACAAACTAAGGACAACATTGCATGTTGCCAGTGACCAACTACTGATAGAAACCAACCTTTTGACGCATTCTTGAATAATCAGTCAGTTCTCAGTGTTGCAGCATGACTTTATAGAAATCCTTTAGATTAAAGATATCATAAGGATATGTTTAGTTTATATCTTTCACATCACAAAATATTGTTTCTGGAAGTTTACTTTGCTTCCGTTAGCTTTAGTGTGTGCTTTTGGTATGTTAACAGCTTGATTTGTTAGAACAGTGTATGTAGCCTAAAATTATTGTATGTTAATTTGTTAGTTTAATGAATGTGTTAGCATTAATACTCTATCTATCTATTGTCTTCTTCACTTTTACCGGGTTGCAGCCCAGTGTCGTGGTTTAAAATGTTTGTTTTGTGCCTCTCGCGTGATTTGAATGACAGTTTTCTGGATCTTCTGGCCGTATTCAGCTACTCCATCTATCCATTTTTTCATGGGTCTTCCTCTGACCTTTCTTCCCGATGTTCTATTGTAAAAGGCCTTATAGGCAATCTGATCCGGTTGCATTCTTACTAAATGACCAAACCACTTCATTCTCTGTCTTTCAATATGTTCCATGCATGCTCTTGTTCCAACTTTGTCTCTAATACTAGCATTAATACTAAACATTATAATCTTTAATATCTGAATTTAGGAGAGATGATATAAACTGTTTTATTGTTATCCCTCGAGTCTTTACATTTAGTAATACATGCATTTTGTATCCAACATTTGTCATGCACTCAATGGTTTCAACTTTGAATTGACGCGTGCCAATTTTGTTCATTTGATGCTTATCTATTTTGTAAATAAATGCATTTGATAATTTAAAGATAACTTGGGTTAATATTTGTGTATAGTTTTGTGTTATTTTAACCAACGATGTTTTTTTTTAAACAACGACTAAAGAACCTCACCACAGTGCAGACTTCATGTTATTATATAATTGTCAAAGTGTATCATTTTATCTGGCTGAATGCGGTTTCTAGGATTTGAGGTGTTAAGGCTGTGACATGTAATCTTGTAGTGGAACAATTACCTAACCGGAAGAAATATCCCATTCCCATTCTGGAGTTGCTTTGAATCCTGGGGAAAGCAGTGCAGAACAGCAGCTACCAGCACTACTATCACACTGTCAGTAGCCTGTCTTTTACAGAACCTTGCTTTCATAACAACCCTCCAGAAAACTTCTTGATCACTAACAAGATTTCCCGAATCCGATACACCCATCTGGAGATTATCCGCCACATGCTGCACCCATCTTCTCTGTAGCCGTCGTCTTCCTCTCTTCCCAGGCACATAACCTTCTATTATTATCCCTAACTTTCATGACGTTTCAAGTGACCAAAATATTTCAATTTTCTGGGGTTAATCATCTTTAATAGCCAACCTTCTTTAATATTCTGTTTTTGAAGTATTAATGCATTTATTTTCTTCTTGATCCATGCTATTGTTAGAACCTGTCTGTAATGTTAGTATTCAAAGGCATTTGTGCGCTGTTCAGTTTGTTTAGTAAGTGTTCAGGTCTCAAAGATGCTGCAGTGGGAAATTTGATTTTTGTAGTTCTGTCTGTCCCACTCCATAATTTATTCAGTTGTTTTAGCCTTCGAAGAGCAACTGATAGTCATCGTTTAATTTCTTTCACTGTGTTATCATTGTTGGTAAATAATGACCCAAGATATTCACAATTTTCCACCTCTGTCTGTCTGGTCTATAACATCATATACCCAATATAATCACTGACAGGACAAGTGTCGATTACATTTTATCTTTGTCATGTGGGGGATGTTTTCCTTTGTGAATACAAGGTATCAGTCCTTAAGGAAGAAAACAGGGGCTTTAAAGCTGAAATGCTATAGAACAGTGGTTCTCAACATTTCTAATGCCATGACCCTTTACTACAGCTCCTCATGTTGTGGTGACCCTTTACTACAGCTCCTCATGTTGTGGTGACCCTTGACTACAGCTCCTCATGTTGTGGTGACCCTTGACTACAGCTCCTCATGTTGTGGTGACCCTTTACTACAGCTCCTCATGTTGTGGTGACACCCCGCCCCCCCCTTTCTTTAAAAAAAAAAAAAAAATTGCCACTTCATAATTTCACTAAATATGAGATTTTTTGATGGCCATGGTCGACCCCTTTGAAACGATCGTTAATAAGTCGCGACCAACAGGTTGAGAACACCTGCTAAAGAACGATTCTTAGTATATCATGGGAAAAAAAAAAAAAAAAAAAGAAATGCTGAAAGTGGAGCTGGGTGTTGCATGCACATTCACAACTCAGAAACAAAATGGCGACTGTACTTATAGAGTTTACCCTAGAAAAAATGTGCCATGCAAAGTGCTGCCTGCAAAGGATATTCATAAGGAAATGCTTCATGTTTATGCTGACGAATATTTATCCACTTTTTTGGTCCACTGAAAACCCACCTTGGCGGGAGACATTTCGCAAAAGATGCAGAAGTTCACTGTGAAGCGAAAATGTGGTTTAAAACAGAGCACACAGTTCAATTCAGCAGGTTTGGGAGGACTGATAAAACGATAGGACAAGTGCATCAGTTTGGTAGAAACTATGTTTAAAAATAAATGGTTTTCAAAATGTTATCGACTTTTTTTTTTTTAAAGCCATTTGTGACTTAGACACTTCCTCTCGTATATAGTACACAAACTGGAATGAGCTGCCATATCTTAGTGGCTAGTGCACTATCCTGCCGACTATTTGACTGTTTAAAAAAAAAAAATCGATTTCTCTCGGGGAAAAAAAAAAAAAAGCAAGAATGCCTGTACAGGAAGCATCATTTGAAGTTGGAGTGCATGTGCAACAGAGACAGGAAACCAAGAGTCTGCACAAACATAAGCAAGATCTATAAAACGGATGTGCATGCAATATACAGGTTCTGGAACAAGACTTAAAGTCTAGAGATGGATGAAGAACCAGGACTTTCCACAGAAGTTTGCAGCCAGTGAATACAAACAAGAAAAATAGGAAACCCATTTGATCTAGGACTTTCTTATCTAAATGTATGTATCGGTGTGTATAATTATACTTACGCAGAAACAATTGTGTACGTATTATTTAGGGTGAAAAATAATACAGATGTAACAAAATTGTGGGTTCACTGTGACATCATCTAATTTCATTGTTTTGGTCGCATTGCTCTTTGTAACAAAAAGACCAAAAACACCGTTAAGTGTTTAAAGGGAAGGAAACCAGTTAATTCTTTGTTATGTTTGTATTAATAATTACTTCCCTTTTCCTAAAAATAACAATGTTCTAGCATGAAAATATGGAATTGACTAGGATTTTTTTTTTTGGGGGATAACAGATGCAGGTAAAGTCGGGAGATGTGGACCAGCGTCATTGCACACACCGCGTCTTCTTTTCTTTTTTTCTAGTTTCTGAAGGCGGAGATTCAGAGAATTATCAGGATGCGATTGTTTGAAAAGAAATTGGACCAAATTCTTGTCTAAGCCTTTTACCGAGCACAAGGGAAACATAATAATAACATACCACCCCAGCAGCACTGCAGGGAATCTGATCCTGCTGAGACACTCCCCTCCCCATCCGCGAACAGCGCTTAACGGCTCACTAACCATGTATACACGTTTTCTTTTCAAGTCTATTTTCAATTTTCCTATTATGTAGAGTGTATCATTACTTTTGTTGGCATTAAGCACAGTATTATTATTAATATTCTTCTTCTTCTTATTATCATTATTATGCACTTAAACAATGTGTAGCTTCACCCCCCTCTTTTTTAAAACCCCACTCACCCTTTTTTTTTTTTAAATATGTAATTCACCAGCTAGTTGTAGTCAAAGGGACACAGTTTTTT